AGGTCATCCACGACTTCTACTCTGATCTCTTTGACAGCCACGTCCATCTGCCACCATACCGCTTGGAGCAAGATGGATACGTCGTTCCTGCAGTTCTCCCTTCCGAAGTCCGACATGCCATCTCGTCGGTGAGGAAATCGTACGGCACCCGGTCCCGACAGGATCAGACCCGAACATCTGAAGAATCTTCCGCCAGTTCTTGTCAAAACTCTGGCTCGACTCTTCACGCGCTACCTGTCGGAATGCAGGTATCACTGTGGGAAACCAGCAAGACTGTGTTGCTGTACAAGAAGGGAGACCTGTACGACATTGGCAATTATCGCCCAATCTGCCTGCTGTCTGTAGTCTACAAACTCTTCACACGAGTCATCCTGAACAGGATTGGCAGAACACTAGACGAAGGACAGCCATGCGAGCAAGCAGGGTTTCGAAGAGGATTCAGCACGATCGATCACATCCACACGGTAACGAAGCTCATTGAAGTATCGCGAGAGTACAAGATGCCGCTATGGTCTTCCACGTTTATCGACTTGAAGAAAGCCTTCGACTCCGTTGAGACAGAAGCGGTTATCGAAGCCCTGGGCAACCAGGGTATTCCTACTCAGTACATCAGGATTCTTCGTGAGCTCTACAGCAAACTTCGCGACCAGGATCTCATTATTTTACAAGGAGATCATCATTGATGTGAAGAGAGGGGTCCGACAGGGCGACACCATCTCGCCAAGCTCTTCAGCGCCTCTCTCGAGAACGTCATGCGTCAACTGGAATGGGAAGACATGGGAGTGAAGATCGACGGTCGGCAACTACACCATCTCCGCTTTGCTGACGACATCGTTTTGATAAACACCAAACATCGAGCAAGCGGAACGAATGCTGGCTGATTGATTCGAGATGTTGCGGCTGTCGGAAATCGGTCTACGGCTGAATTCATGTTTCGTGAAAAAACGGTTATTGGTTTCTGACACCCCATTCAGCGCTCAACGGAAGCGACATGCCTCTCTTGGGTACCTGGCGTCCGTGAAAAATCAATATGATGAACGATTTAGCACCAGAGCTGAGCAGGAGGAAGCGAGCGGCTTGGGGAGCCTTCAAGAACATCGAGGGAGTAGCGAAGAAGACGAAGAACACCAAGCTCCGTGCCCACCTCTTCGATTCCGCGGTCCTTCCTGCCTTGACGTACGCCTCAGAGACTTGGACTCTACGAAAGCAGGATGAGCATGCGGTCGGCGTTATTCAACGCACCATCGAAAGGGCGATGCTGCGGAGTTTCCGTACATGCGGTGGCAGTGAGAGAGGAATCCGGAGCTCCGCACTCCGCCGACGATCGAAGATCAGAGACGCCGCCGCATTTGCCAAGGTTTCGAAGATCAGGTGGGCCGGACACGTCATGCGTTTCGAGGACGACCGCTGGGACCGAGCGATTCACCGACTGGATTCCACGGGATGTCCAAGCGAACGCCTGGACGACCGCCTACGCGATGGTCAGATTTCTTCGTGAAAGCTCTGAACGAATGGTATGAAGTTCATCGTGTCCCTCGAGCTGAGAGAGTTCATTGGGCAACTCTTGCACGTTGCAGGGACGAATGGAGACGTTACTGGCGCCCGCTCGAGGAACTCGATGATCAACGGGAGCACAGGTGATACGGTGATACTGTCTTATTCTCGCCGATCAAAACGCAGCTGGGAATCGTTCAGTGCCTGTGTGAAATTGTATCGAACAAAGCCACAGTCAAGCAGGACCTCTAAATTGCCCAGCCTACACGGTGCTATAAAGCACTTCGAATGAAAAGACCTAGTTAAAACAGGTCAAGTCATCCTTAGTTCCACGACAACGCAAGATCGCGATTGTGGCAGCAAGGGCGTCAACCGCACTTCAAGAGCTCGAATGGGTGGTTCTTCAGCATCCTCCGCACTCTCCGGACCTTGCGCCAACCGACCATCACCTTTTCTCCTCCATGTCTAACCAAAGGGGGTGTTACCTCCAAAGGCGAAGAGGACCTTCAAAAACTGGCGCGAAAACTTCTTCGACACCTGGCGATTTTTGGCGAAACGGTATCAACAAACTGGTCGAGAGGTGGGAGGAGGTCGTAAACAATGACGGAAAATACATATTTGATTAATTTATTAATTATTGTTTTGGTTTAAATGAAGCTCTTTGAAAAAATCGAACGAACTCATTCCACAACCGAATACAAGGATAAGGACAAGTAGATTCTACCTCTACACACTGATAACTGAACAGCTTGAAGCGAATCCCACTCAAAAGCGAGGTTCACTCATTAATTTTCGCTTTAAGCGTTACAGATTCGAGAAAATTCTCTGGTTAGAGAAGGATCTAACGAAGAGAAGCGCAAAAAGTGCCAGGAAAAGTAGCAAGAAAAAAAACAAACGCCCGCTTCGGCTCTTAAGCTTCAACGAAATCGTCCGAATAGAAATGAGTTAAAATCGAGTGATATTTCTTCAGAAATATTCTTACGAATTGGGTGAATATTTTCAGAGTGAGATCGCAAAGGCTGAAAACAGGTCAAAAAACAGCAGGCAGACAATGGTCGGAGACAAGGCCATTTTATCGCTTCTTGCGGTTGAGGCTATCGGCTTCTTGCGTACTATTGCACAACTGCAATCGTGTTTGTCGTAACAGCGTGCTTGAATAAATTTGGTGCCAGTGATCGCATTATGAGCTTATCTGTGAACTGATCGCAATGAAATGCCCGCAAAACAAACGAATTCCAGATCTACCCGTGTTTTTTGAACGGGAATGCTCTGCTTTTATTTTCAAAACTGCTCACAAAGGTGTACTCCAGCCCTTTGGGGGGAGAGGGAGGAGGGTTTCAAGAGCGTTTATTGCGGAATGTTGGGTAAATATATGAGTCGCAAGAGCGAGCTACATTTTTTGCGCGCATCTGGAAGTGCCAAAAAAGGATGAACCGTTAACAGTTCAACTCCTCCTCTCGGGTTGCTTAGGTATAGCATAGCTTTTCAGTTCTTTTGGGGTGCCAAAGTGTTGCAATCTTGCACAAATTTTTTCCGGTGATTCTACGTTTCTGAGCTTTTTTTCACAGCGGAAATTTGCTCACAGGTAGTCAATCCTCCAGACTAAGGAATCATTTTTTGTTCTGAGCTCGCCATGAATTTGCAGCATCTTTTCCTGCTACTCAGCATTGGCAGGATCGCGGCAGGATCGCTCTGGAAAAACGAACCACATTGTCGTAGTCCATGCATCCCAACAACATCAAACGAGCGGTTAGACAAAACGCTCTTTAACCTCGAATGGTCTCCGGTCTCTGCGCTGCTACAGAAGCAAATTTGATAGCGGCTGGGGGAGGGTAAGGGAGGGTTGACTTCAGAGTAAGTGCTGGGCAACTTCGTGAATCCTAAAAGCCCTCTTTATGCTACAAAACTGCACAGGGTCGCTTGCACGCCTGCTGCTCCAGGACGTTTTTTTTCAATTTTATATGGCATTTCCTGCTGTAAGGTGAGAAGAAGCGATGGTGAAGCAGTGGAATTAAAATCTTTGCCTGCATCCGGTGGATGAAGGTGTTCGGGGGTACGCCAAGGCACGTTCCGCAATAAACTAGGGAAATATCCTCTCAAATGTGTCCGATGATGCGGTAGGCGGAGGCTGTGCTTGAAAGTGAAAATTGAAGAGAAGAGCGGTTTGGAATGGAAATGCACAGTTAGGCATATGAGCACCCCTTAAAGACAGCTCCCGCGATAAAAGGTCTCTATGCGATAGCTGCTTTTTAATTGTATGGAAACAGTAGCTGATTAGGTAATTCTCCAAGGAATAAAACGAGGACCAAGAATGCGTCTCTCCAGCACATAGACTAAAAAACGCTTCGCCTCACAGTTACACCTCCCTGCGGTCTCTGTGCAACCCCTAGCTCACAAATCTCTCTATCACATCTCGCAGTAGTTGATATCATCCAGTGCAAAAAAAAGAATACAAAAAGAAAACAACAAAAACGCAGAGGAAAAACTCTTGGAAGGAAAAAGGAATTTTATCAACGCGGTGTCTGAATTTGCGGATTACGGTAGCGCACGTTTTGTTGCGTCGAAGGGTTTTGACATCATAAAAATGTTGCGTCACGTCTCGTGCTTTTTACGCGTTTCACCTCGCGAAATGAGTTGAATTGAATGTATATACCTCCAATGAGTAAACTGTAATAAAGGGGAGCAGAATTATCCTATGGGCATTAGCAATGCCCTGTACGCCGGCTAAGAAGTGGCCGGACGTGGCTGCCGTCGCGAGGACATATCTAGCAAGTTAAGGCGGTCCAACTGAGCAGGCGTTAGAACTAGAACTTACAGCGGCTGTAGCTCGCTTCTCGCTCGCTGTGCAGACGAATAGAGTGGGACAGTCTCTAGCTTGGGGCTGTTCTACTTGCACAAGGAAGGACGACCATGTACTACTCGAGCGCGGGGGCTGTCTTATCAGCCACAAGCTAACCCCCAATGGCTGCTAGCTATTAGGTGGCACCCCTTCTGCTAACTATATCTATTCCGAATTGCACGCCTCCTTTTTGCTGCACGCATGGGATTCGCGGAAGCTCCTATATGGAGTATTTTGCACGTTTTTCTTTTTTCCTCTCACCGTTAGTTGTGCAACACTTTGGTAGCTCGCTGTTGGACTCCACTACCTACCGTCGACTGTTCGTCGCATTCTTTACCTTACAATACGCTTTGCTGAACGCGATATCCTGTTCGCGAACAAAGTCGGTATGACTTTTTCAGGTTTTACACCGAACGAAGGTTACATCCTTTGCGTTTTTGTATGCCTTAAGCAAGTCTTTCGGTTGTCCGTTCTCGGAGTGCTGTATAAGACACTGTATAAGAAATGAAGCGGATATCATTTCGTGATCCTACAGGAGCTTTCAGGACTTCACGCTATGTCCCCTCCGTAGCGAATACAATTGTACTGTAAAAGCCGACATAAACCAAAGCTAGACAGCCTATAATTTCATTCAAATTCACGACTTTGTACAGAGGAACAGCGTTTTCTAGAACATTTCGACCATGACAGCTCCAGTGAAGAATACGCGATGTTCTTCGAGCTTTTCCTGAATCTTCTCGGCGAACATCCTCCATTGGCTTTCGAAGATGGGCTGTAATGTGACGGTCTTAGTGAACTTAATGGTCGAAAAGTCAGTTATATCAATCAATTTCGCCGCTGATGTTAGCGGCGTTGGACCAGTCGGATCGCCCGCGAAGGCGGGGCGATCCTCCTCCTATTGCGTGTGAAGTGGGTCCCCGGCCATCCAAACTGAGGCCCAGTCGGATCGCTTCGCTACAGAAAATTTTTTTTTGCAATTCCAGAACATTACCGTTTCACATTTGGTATATACCCCCCTAGTGGACGGTTGTGAAATTTTCGTAAAGGAGGAGGTCGGTGAATGTGGTACTGGATGCTTAGTGGATGAACTGAAGTGGAAGTATATGGTGTATTTGAGTTGTTGTAGAATGAGTAGCAGGTGAATAAACAAATAAATAAATGCAAAAGAATGGTAGTAAGTTATGAATTTCCGATTATGACCTCATATTCACTGCTACTCTCACTTGCCTTGCGACTATATTATGAACTTGTGCAGCAGGCGTCGCCGACTCGGCGCACATCTCATTCGCTGGGGTGTCTCTTCACTTATGTTACCCGTCCCTCGCCCCCCCCATAGATCCAGGCCACTCGAATTTTCTGTGACAAAATGCGAGTCGATCACAGAGCTTGTTCATCCAAACACTGCTCGCAAAAATGCTTTAAGTTCTAGCGTAGCAACTGCTCATTTGCCCAATGTTCACAGTGTCAGCGATCATGCACGTATAAATACAATGTCGTGAATCGTATGATAAAACAGCCATGTTATTACCAAGAATACTGATGGAAAAAGTGATTTTTGCTTCACACGCCCATTTCAAGTATGCCTTCTTCCGTTCAAACTCGACCGACTTCTTACTCCACGTTTTCCCGCTGCTCGGGTAGTTCCGGGTTCGAACTTCGAAATTTTTACTTGGTCCGCCATAGAGAATGATTTTGTCCCCAGTCCCTGTGATCTTCCGGAGGAATTTACGATTTTTGTACATTGATGTTTTTGGGCACCCACTTCAGCTCTGAGAGCATTTCTTTCAATGATATGGCTTTCTCGTCTCCAATCACGTACCTGTGGGGTCTCAACTGTGACTGCTCCGGTGATTTGGAACTGAACCGTCTCCACTTCTACTGCGTGGTGGCTGTATGTGTCACGGTTACAGCAAGTGGGTTGCCACTTCTGGAACAGTAGTTGTAGGTTCATCGGTTTTTGTCTCAGGACTAGTCGTGGTCTCTACGCCTTCCGTTGTGGTTTCTGAGGCCGTTGTGGTTTCAGAAGAGTCAGTTGTGGTTTCAGTTGCCGTAGTGACAGTTGTGGAAATTTCCGTCGTTTCTGATGTACTCTCTGCAGTTTCAGTAGTACCTTCAGTTGGGGGATCCGTTTCCTCCTCTCTCTTCACATCGGTCCGTTAACCTCTGGTTCGGCCGCAAACGCACTTGTCAGTATTGCTTCCTGAAAAACTGTCCTCACTCTTTATTACAACCAGTGTCAACCAGAAGGGGGCTGTGGTTTCACCAAGAGTTAACAGCTCCGATTAAAGTCGGACCAATGTAATTCAAAGACAAATATCCCCTACACATTAGTCACAAAATCAACTCGCCATCATAAACGACGTAGGTGTCCGGTTCTGTGCAGTGATTTCCTTGTGCCAAGTATAGCTTAGGAGCAGCGTATTGGTATGCAAGTTTCACAGTCTCGGCCATGATTCCATTTTCGGCAAGAGTCGAAAGGATCTTGAAAGCGTGATTATATGACTTCCGCCCAGTGAGCTCCATTTCTCGAGATTTTTCTCTTGAATTGAGAAAACGAGTGAATGCAGCGATGACAATATCTACGGTGGGGTCCTAAGCTTGGAAAGATAAAAAACCCGCTGATGGCTGAGTTTCCACCCCCCCTCCTCTTCAATAAAGGGACCGACACGATCATGATTGTGCCAGAAGTATGCAAATAAATCAGGTACGTGCCCACTCAGAAGTGACTAACCAACAGCGACAAATCTTCACCCCTTTAATAAGGACTACAGATTTTTCGAAACACTTCGTCACAAAAACCGCGGATTTCAAAAATCCGAAATTCGCACCCTTTTCCAAATGCGATGACGGTCAGCGATCAGTAATTCTCTTATTCTTCGCACCACGCATGCGCGCCTTATATTGGCACATCCGGTGATGGGGAATCCCCAGCGGGCGTATTTGCTTGCTCGGGGAAGGGGAGGGATCGTGGTTGGTCTGGGTTCATGAGCGCTATTCACATAACTGGGAAATTCCACCGGGGGGGGTCGTAATTGCCTTTGAGAGAAAATTGCCGCGTTGCGAAAAAAATTTCCGGTTTTTGATTACTTCCCGCGTTTTTCCCGTCCCGTTTCAGTGGTACCATATACACCCCCCCCCTCGCTCTGCGGCAAAAGGTTTGGAAAAAATTGAGAAAATCCTGGAAAATTCCGGAAAATGTGATAGGAGGGATGGAGAAGTTGGGAAGCTGAAGGATGAGGAAGTGGGAGGGGTAGTAGCAGAGGATGAAATTTAGGTGAGGTCATATTTTCCAGGAAATCCCCCCTCCACCGGCAGGACGGGAAGCCGCAGAGAGTGTATCACTTCGCCGCTCGAGGCTGTAACAATAAAACCAGCGGCTCGCGACTTGTCTCAAGCCCTATTCATCCCATTGGAAAAGTTCACTATCACAAAGTGACATAGACTTATACAACTAATGGAAAAGCTTCAAGAGATCAGCTCGACTGCCCCGACGGCGCCTCATACGTATTTGCCAGCATGCAGGCGGAATCATCGAAAAACTCGTCCAAACGCTACTATACTCGCAAATCCTCAGAAGGGGTTTCATTTAGGGCACTATCGAGTGTTCCCTTTGGATTCGTCTCTGGAGTTAAGTTCAATAGTTGTATAAATCCATATTTTGGGCAACCACCCATGTGTTCTCGTCGAGGGCTACGCCTCCCAATTCCAGGTTGGTTCGTGAGCTCATTGTCAAAATCAAGTAACACACCGTTACTAAAGCGCCGGTTATGAGGGGTTGTCACCGCGTGTTTCGTTTCGTTTGTTTTGTGGGCTCCACAAAATCTCCAGTAATTTCGAGTGAGAAAAAATCTCGCGGTCCCAACAAAGAAATCAACTAAGAAGTCGCTGCTCTCCAAATCTTATTAGGGTGTACTTCTTACCGCTAGTTGGAGATCCCTATCGGCATTGCTTTCGGCTGCCTGAGCGGTAGTCATTTGCCCATGTCTTGGCAAATCGCTGTAAGTGTACTTGGGTGGTGGAGACAGATTGAAATGCAGCAGAGCCTTGTTCGCTACTCCTCCTGAAAAAAATGAAATGTGCTTGATATCTGGAAAAGGCCTCAAATCAACGAACCTGACGCGGTACCACAAGCCTGACCAGCAGGAAGCAGTAGGCTCACGAAGAATGCAGAGATCATCAGGAAGTGCACCGCCTCTGCCATAGCGGTTGCCTTTAAAGCACTTGGATGTTGCTGTTATTGCTGAGAAGGTCGTAAATTCTGAGCTGCACCTCACCGCCGAAACACTTCGCAAACATTCCTCGCGTGTAGCGCGTCATTTTTCTCCGTTTATGGCAGAGGTTTTCGCGTTTTCCGATTCATTCATTATCCTGAGCAAATGCATAGAAAGCTCTACAAAAACCCTGTGTTTGCAATCATAAACAATCCACAAGACAATATTTGTTCGGACCACACACGGCTTAGGGGAGAAAAGAAACAAGAAACTATATAGATAAATAGGGAAAGAGAAGAGAGAGGTATGGTTATACATGTGCAAATATGGACACTGTCTACCCTTTACTGTCCCCTCTCTTCGGAACTCACGCCGTATTTCGCTCGATGTGTTTCCCTTTCGATGTTGATTTGACCGAGTGTTTGTTTTTGAAAGTATTTTGACCCTCTGAACATGAATACGGCATCCGTGCCACAGACGCCGCCGTCACGTCGCGTTCGTACCCACAACCATTCGTGTTCAGGGACTACAAATGTCTCTTGTTTTCCAGCTTTCCGTTTCCCAGCCATCTATTCCACAAGTGAGGAATTACGATGAAATTGTGAACTGAACTTGAAAGAGTGGGAGGTATGGGTAGGGTGAACAGTGCCTAAATACAGTACATATTTCAGAGATGGGGAGTCCGTGGCTGCGAACTACCGGTTGGTCCATAAGTAATGGCATGTTTTTTCTCACTCGAAAAATTGCGCTAAAGGGGGAAACTTTGTCACTGAGTTTTATACTGTTTTGCTGATAAATTGGCCTTGAACGACAGTCGTCATAGTTTTTTTTAAGGTTCTGTTTTCACTAATATTATCAGGCTTGACGAACTTGAGCATTGTCGACAGCCTCTCCTCCTAACATCTAATTAAAAGCTAAAACCGCACAGGCACAGTTGCTAAGTATATGGCCAAGAGGCTATGCCTCTTAGAAATGCTGACGGTGTTTCAACCGATTCAAATATTTCAATCTTGGGCTCACACACAGCATCGAACCTACATAATGCCTCATTGAGCCCAACTAATAGCTTAGATCACCTTATTCGCAGAGATTCATACCAAAGATGGAGAATTGTTAGAGGCTATGGAATGTTTCCTTATCACAATCAAGCATCACCTCTAGCTGATCTCAGACGTTCGAAAATTATTGGGGTAGGTTGTTCAGGCAGTCCCTCCCTAATAGCCCCCCCCACGCAATGCACATTTACAAGGTCTGAATTCCCATCTCCCAATCGCTTGAACGAACTTTGATGTCGTGTGAGTAACCTTCACTTGGTCATATATGATCCAAGATCTGAGCTTTTTCTATCGTTTGAGAGCCGGGATAAAGTGCAAGAAATTGCTGTCGGAAAACCACTTTTGCTTCGATCAGTCACTCTATTTTAATGGAATGAAAATAGATGGAAATCAACAAATAGTAGTAAAAAAATTGTCTAACAAAAAACGCAACTTCTTATGGGCCAACCCATGCATCCGAATGAGGCCGCTTCTGGAGGGATATGGCAGTTCCGGAGCAGCTGCAAACATGACTATGTCCCATTTGAGATAGGTTTTGCATCAAATGGATATATCCTACGAGCAACACATCCTAAACCACTCATGACCACTCGGGTCCATCTCGATTATTGCGGAATAGCTACATACTCCAATAGCATTTCCCGTGGAAGATTAATTCCTAAAGGTTGTTCAAAGTTACGCAATTCGTCATCTTACTGGCCCCTTCCAAAAAATCAAACTTACTATCAGGACCCGTAGATGGCTCTGGATTTGGCACCTCACCATTTATCTCTTATCTGCTGTGTATTTTATAGGGTCACACCACTAAATGCCCAAACAAGAACAGCTGGAGCACGCTCTGAACAGCAACTTGTTCAGGGATGAATTTAGGACAGATCGAAGAAGTTATAAATACCATGCGAAGGATAGATGACGCAAGTCAATTTTTCCATAAAACGTGAAGGTGTTAGCTTCTGCAGTTCGCCCCTGTGGATAGTCGTTAATGGAGGCAAGAAATGTTATTACTTATATGTTATGCACTTGTTTAGCCTTGCTACTGATCATACAGGGGAGGGGCCAAAAAAAGACATTTCGACCGAGTCACATATCAGCAAAGTTTTCGCAGCCCAGACAGAGGACGTGGATACGAGTACCAGGGCGGAAGATACCCAAGATGTTCCTCGATAAGCAGGAGCTGGCTCTCACCATCACCTTCACCAAAATATGAAGCCATCTCCAGTCCTTGACTGGAGATGACTTCATATTTTGCCTGACTAGAGAAGGCCTTATAGAATTCATGTCACCTCCAAACAGCTGCGAAACTTCTAGTATGGAGTCACCCATGGATAGCTACCTGGAGACCAGTACTCTCGATCTGGAAGACCTCCATCATCGAGCAGCTCCGTCAACGTCGCTACGGTCTAGGACATCTGACCTCTACGTCGCCAAAAGCGCACAGTTGATGGTGTGGACCGCAAAACGTACGCAGGGATGAGAGAGCCGACATCTCTTCGTGACCCCGGACGCAAGTGAAACGCTGGCGGTTACCATCGACCACTCGAGGAAGAATATCCCCACATGTCGCATTCCGTACCTTCTTGAAACATCGTAACCTGCTACAGATGGTGACAACCAACATGAATCGAAGGGCTTGGAAAAACTGTCGCACTTGGAATGCAGGGCGATACCTAAAGAGAAGGACATATCCGTAGGTAGTCACCTGACCGAATCCCTTCATTATCCGGGTCCTGGTCTTGCCTGTTTGAAGCGGAGTTCCCATAGTTGTCTACACTGGCGGAGAAATCAACGATCTCGCTGAACTCAGGTACCCACTCACAGTCGCGTGCCACAATCTCTCGATGGCGTTCCTCCAGAAGGCTGGCGGAGTATCGTGAAAGTATTTAATATGCTCTTTAATATGGTGGTAGAAATGTCCGATAAGAAGTTTAATAAGTTGACTTAATAAGTTAACAGTTAGGATTTAAGTTAACTTACAGCGCGCTGCGAAAATCTAATGAAGAAAAAAGTCTTTTTTTTGCTCCCCCCCCCCTGTAAGTACGGCTGTAAAAGCAGATAAAGTGAAGTGACGTGAATGCATTCGAGAGGAACTGAACAGAGTCATTCCTTTGACTAAATTTCATAATTTTCTCCCCACTTGATTCTCCTCTAATTTCAGAGCTAAATTTCATGTTCCACTAAAAGAACACTCCAAATCAGCAGGTAATCACCACTAAGGCCTAGACTAGTGCCCTTTTCTGCACGAAGCTTCTCTTTCATTCTAAGAACATACGGCAACTATGATAAGAAGAGGTGGACCTCATTTTTGAGTAGACGTCGATTTTCGGAATTTTTGCCTTCTTAAGGATGAGGTAGGGATCAAAAATGGTAGTAGTTAGAGACTGCTAACTTTGATGAATAAGCTGGGTATGGTCGCATTCTCAGATCAAGATCCACGATCTTTTGGTGTGGCCTGATCCTAACATGCGGTCTTCGCATGCGAGCCAGTAAGACGAAAAATGAGTATTTTTGAAGAAAATCAACGTGACGTCACCATGTTGTGACGGTGATAAGAAGTGGCTGTATCTTACCGTTATGCTAGTATCCAGAGATACCGCTTTGAAGTCCCACCAATAACCTACTGAAATCTTTATCCCATGCACATCTGCTTTTGGCTGTGCAATCTACTTTTCTCTCTGAGAGATCCTGCGAGGAACATGTGCAAGATGTACGCAAGGACCCCACCACTCTCTACCAACCACAAGATCTCACAAATGTTCCTCCAGTGTGTACAAGGAAAAAAAACTCAGTCACGGTCATTCGTATGGGACTTTGTAAGAGGGGTTCAACTCATGAGGCATCCTTCATATAAAAAAATTTCCGATAACCGAGACTGCGGAGAAGCATGGCAGTTGTCAGTTAGGTGGAGCCTAGAGAGGTGCCAACTTACTGTGTACGTTGTCTTGCGCCTCAAGAAGCTGATAAAGGCGCGTCATTGTCGTGAAATGGTGTCACGTTAATTGATTCTATACATGCCTACTTCCGAAGTTTAATAATCAGCTGGAAGCGCTGATGCAAAAGGAACTCTCTGCTATGGCAGACGATATCCTTCCTCAAGACAACGTAAGTGTTAGCTTCCTCGACTATGGCGGAGTTGCCCTACAGGAACTCATAATATGTGGATAGGTCGAGAAGTACCTCGATCTCTGAGGTATTTTTAGAACTTGAAAAACTCCACGAGCCATGAATACCCATTTTCCAGAAACGCCCAGGGAGACGAGTTCTCCACTAATCAGAGATAAAAACATCCAAAATGATTTTTTGTCTTTTTCTAGAATAGTTCAAAAACAAAGTGTCGCAGGACTTTTCGAACAACCTAATATTTTTACCGACTTGTTCGCAGTGGTGGAAACATGGGCACATAATCTCCAAAAATTAGTGAAGTTAGAATTTCATTGCAATGCTTACATATACCGTATCCATAAATCACTGCAATCAGTTGAGTGGCAAGGACTAGAAAACTAGGTAAATGACCACGAGAAAACACCGAAATTGTGGTAACTGTGTATGAAATGAACACTAAGCAACCTGACTTCTTAGTTACCCTCCACCATGTCGAGAAAGGAGCGGCTTCTCTGACAGTAACAATGCCTCATCAGCGTTTGAATGCATGCAGGCTGAGCTCAGATTAGACTACGTGGGGTGATTGGTTCTACTCGTGCCATTTGAACATGAGCAGTCTAGTGCCCTAGAACAGTCTACGCACCATGGTCAGAAGTATCAGGTTGTCGCACCTGTATCAGGTTAACGCGAAGAAATCCGGAAAACTTCTGCAGCCGCTTCTGCATACCATTTTACTTGGATGCGGGTTTTCATTCCTGATGCTGATGTGTTCCGTAATCCCTCTCCAGAGCGTCCTAGCTCGGAAAAAAATGGACGGGCCCGAAAGAATCTGCGAA